GTGTACCACATTTTAAAAAATCTTAAAAAATACAAAATGTGATCTAGATATGAATTAACATAATTTCACATGTTGCCAAGAGGCTCAACTTTTTTTAAAGCCTAAAATAAAGTACAACTCTTACATAATGCACCAATCACAGCTAGTGTTGTCGTTTATTTCTGAATGCAATGTTCCTTACACCTTAAGCTCCGTCCACCTGGCGTTGTACAATTGGTACCGTTATACCTTATGGTTCCCTGTTTTGCACATGGCTACTGTTACCCCAGACTGATTCGCTGTTAAACAAATGATATCTAACTATATCAAGAAACTTGCATTCATCCAGATTTCATGTTATATTAACAATCTGGATATTACACTACATACAGGCAGGCAGGCATGCATGCTTGCAGGCAAGTAGCCAAGCAGGCAGGCACACGCACGCACGCACGCACACACACACGCGCATACATACATACATACATACATACATACATACATACATACATACATACATACATACATACATACATACATACATACATACATACATACATACATACATACATACATTCATACATACATACATACATACATACATACATACATACATACATACATACATACATACATACATTCATGCATGCATGCATATATATTACGAGTTTCATGTTAGAAGAAAGCTGATTATATATTTTAATGTTAGCTGATGAAATGATGATACTTTCCGAGACTATATATATCCATAACTACATTAGTTGTATGATGGAATATGTTTGTAAACATAAAGGTTGTGATTTTTATAATTGCGGAGATAGGTCTCTAAACTTTCTGGATAAATTTCGTTTTTTGGGACTCGTTTTTACCAGCAATGTACTACATATATCATTGATGGTAACGGCGTCAAAGCTATGTTCATACCTTTGATTAGTACCTAAATTCTACACTTTCCAATTGAATGTGTGACATGCCTTTAGAAAATAATATGTAACTGTCACATAGGAAATATTGCAAGTGGTTATTATGTTAAGCTGTCTGCCATCAATATATATTTATATATGGAGATCTCGGACGATACATTCTATACAAATAGAAATATGCGTATCTTTAATTGTTGGTTCAGATTGCTAAATAACAAAAGTTGTATCAGAGAAATCACAAAGAATGTAACTAAAAGAGTACTTAATATTTCATACAAGTCTGCAAGAAAAGACACTTAATACAATGAACAGAGTATTTAATATTTCATACAAGTCTGTAAGAATACTTGTGCAATACAATGAACAAAGTACTTAGTATTTCATAAAAATCGCGGAATACAATGAAAAGAGTACTTAATATTTCATACAATTATGCAAGAAAACCCAGGGAATACAATGAAATGAGTACTTAATATTTCATACAAGTCTGTAAGAAAACCTACGGAATACAATGAAAAGAGTACTTAATATTTCATACAAGTCTGCAAGAAAACCCACGGAATACAATAAAATAAGTACTTAATATTCCATGTTAGTAGGAGATAAAAACCACGATGAAGAGATCACTTAATATTTCAAATAAGTACGTTGAAAACTTACAGAATGTAATAAAAAGAGTATCGTGGAACTTGAGTGAAAGATTTAGAAAACAAGATTTAACAAGTCAGTATTTAAAAAACGATTCTCTTTTCGATCTTGAAAAGACAGGTCTACCAAATGCATACCATCTTCTCATAGCGCTTTTGTAAAACATGATTTAAAGATCCTAATTGTAAAGTGAAAGGTGACAAACAAAGAAACCAAACCAAATGATTTCTATCAGCCTTCAGATTGCACATGTGATGGGTATTGATGTGCATGTTGCTTCAACGGATTGAAAAGGACGACCATATCTCGTTTATTTGGAATAATATTTCATCACAAGCATAAAAGTACATCAAAAAGGGTTAAATACATCAGCCAAACACATCTATTTGAGCAAAGTTACGGATATCAACACCAAGCGTGGATTCCGACGGTATCGCTTTCATGATGTAGTTGCTTGTGTCATATGATGTCCAAAAAAACAATTGTTAGCAATTCTGTTGTAAACAACTTTAATAGAATTCTGGTGAAATATTTCACAATAACATGCGGACATGATTTTTTCTGTAAAGTTAAGTGCTACATGTTCATGATATACAACTAAGCTAATTTACAAATTACTTATAATGAATCTGTTATGTCCGTGATTAATAGATGAAAGTTTAGAATTCCGTTAAACTTCCAGAATCTTGCACATCATTATTTGCAGTATCCTTGTGACCATTCTCAGGATTTCAAAGTTTTCAAGATTTCAAAGTTTGTAACTACTGCAAAAGCATTTGCAAAAGAATTTGCAACCAGGACATTTTTTGCCCAGTAAAGGGCACAGAAGCATCGGAGTCAATTGCGCTATCGCTAAATGACAAATGCAGAAGTGGGATTGGTTTCTGTTATTACTGCATAACTATGGATGGTATCATGAACATATAAGGTAATCCGGTCTTATTGAACGTTGTATACAATACTTCCAGGATGAGTTTTTACGGTCTTCTGATACTTTGCAAAAAGAGCGGAGAAACGAATCTATAAACATTTACAACTCAGCAATGGAAACAAACCTCGGTGATTATTGAAAGTCAGTCAGACTTGGTTATTATCTGCGTTGTCAACAGTTTCCATAATCCAGAAGGCATTTATTTTTATGAACTAGAAAATCATACAGAAATTAGTAAGGCACGTGTTAATAGCTTAACAGTGTTGCTTCTGACTTAAATTGTAGCAGTCTGAATCACCAGCAAGCAATGCAGTATCAAATGAACAAACAAAAATGTAGATGATCACAAAATATATAATTATTTTGTTTCAGCTGCCCAGGCATACATTACAACAATCAAATATAAAATACTAAGAATGAGTATATGTTTTGCAAAGAATTTCACAACATGATATGTCGTGAAATGACTAACAGTAGACAATTATGTTTGCGATGTTGGATATTCGTGGTTCAGATATTAAAGGTTATTGTGATAGATGTTGATGATAATTGGATTGAAGGTTAGAGTTAGTGGTTGATATCTACCAGGGAACCAGTTCTTTGTTTTAATTGATAGCTGTTGTAATTTTTATAACTTAGAAAAAGCAATCTAACTTAACTATGCTTCCATGGAAGACATTTTAAAGCATCTGTGTGGTTGACAGAAGAAAACCACGCCAATAGTTAAAGACTTTAAAGAAAATACATATCTACAGAGAAAAAAATACTTATTTGAAAAGAACTGTTCTACAAGATGAAGTGACAAGAAGAGTTGTAGAGACTTTGAAATAAAAGAAAAGGTATACGCTTTTGATGGCAGTGCAATACTTTATCTGAAGAGGACGTACATGTAAATTAAACAAATTATGTATTGAGCCACCAAAAAATGCTTATCTTTACAAACATACTGCTACTCTGTTCATTCTGATGTTATGGTTCTGTGATTGCATGACTCGAGTATATTTATTTCCTGGTACATTTATTCGTTGTTAATCAGCCAATTTTGTGCATCTTACATTTTCAACAATTTTTGATGAATCATTCCATTATTCGTTTGCAGACTCTCTTGTTATCTTAATCAGTCCTTAATGGACAGTCTGTTCCTAACACAAATTACGCTCCAACTGATGTATTTTTGTGATCATTCGTGGACAATAAAATCGTTTGGATATTTACTGGTGTCAAAAATTTTAGGGCCTTTTTATGCCTCTGTAAAAATGTTCAGTTTCAACGCATAATGAAACAGTGTCAGTCATGACGGTAGTCGCATTATATAACCGAATTTATTTATATATTCTGCAATAGAATTACTATATCAACCATGTTGATTACTCTTACAGTTTTACGCTTAAGTGTATTATAGATTGAATTGGTTAATTTATATTATATTTTTCAGACCATTTAACTCTAATCCATCGTCAATAACTATATATCTTTTAAAATATTTTTGAAAGATATATTGTCATCTGTTACATATTTTTGTGTTGTTTTTTCCTGAGATTTTCTATTTGTTTGTCAAATACAATTTTTCGTTAATTTAAAAGTCTTTCTCACACTCAGTTATCTTTCTGTCTCAGAGTAATACTTGGCAATTTTCAGTTACAACACAACTGTATACGACGCTTTTTGGTGTTTGAAATGTTATCACATGCATTTCTTTCTTTTTCAAAGTACATAGCAGTTGTGATACGGTCTGAATTGTGGGCATGTATTAGTTGTACATTTGGTATATAAGGGAGATAACTCACGTTCGTCTCGTACAAGTGATATTTCCGTGTTATCGGGTTATCGTTGAAATGGTCATTGAGATGTAGTGGAATCTCCGTGTCTACTTGTATAATGCAAACCAGTATCATAGCCGTCTGGGCAGAATATGTGGGACCCAATGCAGCATGCAGGGCTCAGGGCAGCAAGCGATGAGCGCGAGGCCCCAAGGCGGCTGCCTCGATCGCCTCGCCCTAAGACCGGACCTGCGTCTGGGGTTTTAAATAGAGTTTCTTTTAATTCGTTCATACACAATGGAAGTTATTTATTGGTATGTAGTGCTTATTGCCCAACCATAAACTGAGATACATGATGTACGGGTTTCGATTTCCTCTCATCGAATTATCCGACGCTGTCTTTTCATATTCGTCTTTGGAGAATTCGTTGTTGGCATTCAAATGCCTATCCGGTATCATGCCAATCCCGCCACGAATTCGACTTTCAGTGATAAAAAAAACAACATATCATTGTATTTCAAAGTTCAGATTCAGCAGGTGATATTTGTAAACTTGCATTATGGATAATCCTGATGTACGGCACAGGTAAGCAGGATCTAGTTCATTTAAAAACTCAACGACAAACACTTAAAAAACATTCATAAATTCTTCAAAAAAAATCCACACATTATCAATGTATCTCTCGTAATACTCGTGAAAGAAATTTACTGTTTGAATGCTGACGTGTGACATCACAACATATACAAACTGCTAGCAACCGCTCTGGTGACTTAGTGGTTAGAGCGGCCGTCTAGGATGCTGGAGGTCGTTGGTTCGAACCCCAGCCGAGTCATGCCAAAGACTTTTTTAAAAAAATGGTACTAACAGCTGACTCGCTTGTCACTCAGCATTAAGAGATTAGAGTTAGGACTGGTTGGCCTGGTGTCAGGATAATGTGACTGGGTGGGACATCATATCACACGTCTGGGGCATGACGCCCCAGTGCTAGACATCACTGTAAACTGCTTTAGCAATATGACTGAAAAATTGTTAAAGCTACGTTAAAAAATCTAAATCACACACAGACACACACAAACTGCTAGTCATTATTGGAATCATTAAGTGATGAGTCAAACATTTTCCAGGTGGTGTAACTATGTCGTTAAATCTTTTAAAACTATTGAAATACTCGCAGTAGTGAATGTCTCTCGCAAATACAATGGCACTTCGTGTTTGCAAAATATTTCGGTTGTTGGTGTAAATTGTTTCATGACATTAATTTAAATTCAGCTGCTGTCACAACCGTAAAAATTGTAGTGAATCAAAAGTTATTTGCAATTCTGAGTATCAGTGAAACCTTTATTTCCTTGCCATCTGTTCCACCCTTGCCATCTCTACCCTTGCCATCCTTCCTGAAAATTTCATTTTTGAATTTTATGATGAATTAAATAATTATCGGGACAAGCATGATCGCTGATGAAAATAGGTGGCTGACAAAATGAGAGAAGTTATCAATGGTAAGTTGCATGAAGTTATGGCATCTGAAATTCAAATTATATCCATTATAAACAGCCCTTCCGTAAATTCCAGTAAAGTCATCTTGACAAGTCATCATTACCCTCACGTATGCTTCTCATTTTTCGGTCTTACTTAATTCGTCTTGCAAAAGATTTTGAGATCCTTCCAACCAGCTGTAATTTACCGGAACGCATTCAGTACCTCTGTAAACGACTGGCCTGTAATATTTATGAATTGACTTCAGCTACATAGAAAACTCTGACATAATATGTTCAACTGTTTGCGTTATAATTGCAGCCTTGTTATCATCTTGAGGTGGTAATGCTTGCTGTTAAGCGCTATTAAATTGTTGTACGTGTAATATAAATGTCCCAATAAAAAGCATGCTTTTATAATTCGACATTACGTTTATAAATGTCCCAATAAAAAAAACATGCGTGTGTAATTCGACGATAAATTTACAAATGTCCCTATAAAACCATGTGTGTGTGTGTGTGTGTGTGTGTGTGTGTGTGTGTAATTCGACGATACATTTATGTCAAAATAATACTATCTGTGTGTAATTCGACGAAACATTAATGTCAAAATAAAACTATATGTGTGTAATTCGACGAAACATTTATAAATGTCCCAACAAACCCATGACAATTTTAATTCATGTTGAGAGTTTTAATAATTGTATAAGTGAGAGCGTTTCTGGCAATACATCTGTTGAGCTGCATGGCATATCAGATAAATAAAACCAACCAACATACATGTTCTACAGTTATGTTTGTATCCATAATGTTCATTATTTGTAATGACATTAGTTGTTTTAGATCTACTGGTTTAAAAAAGAAGAGCTTATGGGCTGGAGTCCTGTCTATCGTTCGTCCGTCCGTGATCACAAGTTTGTTGTCGCTATTACTTCTAAACTACTGGCTGGACTGCATTCAAACTTTACACACACACACACACACACACACACACACACACACACACACACACACACACACACAGAGGAAGACAGACATGCATCACAAGGTCTCGTTGCCCAGAACAAAAAATAGTACTGCTCTGTCATAGAATATGATCGCCACTGCCATAGCAGCCATCTTGAAAATCTTGTTATCGCTGCCACTCTTGAATGGATGGTCATACCAACATGGCATTTTAGCTGAAAGACTTTTTATGACGTCCAGTTGTTTTCAAATGAAATGCTGCCGATCTGACGTTGAATATGCTCATCTTGCAAATCTTGTAATCGTTACACGTCCAGAATAGTCAGTCCTATCAACACGTGGTTTGTACTAAAATAATTCTTATTATGTTAAGTGATCTTGTGTGGTTTGCTACTACTACTACTACTCACACACAGGAATTTAACAAAAGAAGAACTTCTTACATGCTTAGTTGGTTCCTGATGAGACTAGTGCCAATGGCGACCATAGCAATCATCTTTAAAATCATGCTCTACGTATTCTTTCCGAATGGATACTTGTATCAGCATGGGGTTTTCACTAAGGAACTTCTAATGATGTCTAGTTGTTCGTGAACAAAAAATCGTACAGATCTGAACACTTGTATTGCCAGCACAGCAGCCACCTTGAAAATCTTGTTATTACTACACCTGAATAGAAAGAAAGAAATTAAATTATTTATGCCCACTCCTTTCAAAAAGAATGTATGTATCAACATGAGGTTTTTACTAATAGGCTTTTATGATACATAGCTGGTCCTAAATACAACCGCCTGAAGACTGTTTTAAACATCCTGGTGTCGCTACATCTCCTGAATAAATGGTCATTATGACATTGACCTTTCAACAAAAGATTTCTAATGACGCCCGCTTTATCTTAAATGCCAATGATGCAAAACTAACTTCCAGCATGTTTGAAAGTCTTTTGTTGCTGAAGAATATCACAAATGGCTTGATAGTTAACAGGAAGAAATAGACTTATTTTGAATTCTTGGAAATTATTTGGCACAATAGAATTTCAGTCCCGTCGGGAAACTCTTCGTTATCAATCATGCAACATAATGGTATTTTCCATGGATCGCATCATTCAAGTAAGGTCCTAGTGGAGGTGTCTGACTTTCTAAGTCTCGGATATTTTGACAGCTTTAATATAGCTTCTCTCCATACAACTGTCTCCGACGTCAAAGTTTCCATGCGCATTTACAGTGCGATCAAATTCATTATTTTAAATTTGATCTAATTCATTGAAACAATCACACGATATATATATATATATATATATATATATATATATATATATATATATATATATATATATATATATATATATATATATATGGGTGGGTGTTTCACCTAAGCGTCTAGCATCTATGTAACTATGTGCTGTAATATTTGATATATAACGAATTATGTTTGTTTTTTTTGTGTACAATCAATAATGCATTTATATTTAGACATAATTGTGGCATAAATGTCTACGTCACTGCCTGTACCTGTAGATTCTTTCGTTATGGGTAGTTTAATCGGAACCCACTCCTTACCACCACAAGGAGGAGGTCACAGTTTTAATGCATACTTTTTTACACTTAGGGATTGAATTTTGCACACACTAGAATATGTGTCAAGCTTTTTGCACGATAGACATTCAATGAATTTTGTTATAATTGTTTGCATTTCTTTTTCTGTTTTTGCACATGATTTCCAAGCGAGTTTTTTTGTGAACATGTAAACGAAATTGTGCAAGTATATCAGTTGTTGCTTTTAAAATTTCAATTGCTCGACTAGTATTCTAATTACACTATTACTTAAACAGGTTCACTAGTGTTCTAATTAGACTATTACTTAAACGGGTTGACTAGAGTTCTAATTACATTATTGCTTAAACGGGTTGACTAATGTGCTAATTAATACTTTTTAAGCTTGACTACCAGTGTGCTAATTAAGAATAATAATTTACTTATTAGGCTGGCATGTCATATCACAGATGTTCTGGAGCAGCCGACAGAGAACGAGGGAGATCGAATTAGAATTTTTAGTGGGGTATTCTTGGCGTGGGTAAATTGTCTAACTCAGTTTGAAGCATGGAAAAAATTATAAAGTCTTCTTGTAGGCAAACATGTTGCTTGTGAATGTGTTGATATTACAATTGTATGAAACTACATAAATATATTAGGTTTAATATGTTGTACCAAAACATTATTCGTGATGTTTTTTTCGAGTGTACATTATATTGAATATCATTTTTTTAAAAAAGAAAATTCATGATAATAATAAGGTGTAAAGCGATTTTCGCTCAGCTCCTATATGAGCCAAAGAGATAGCACAAAACGTGGATCTTTCTATAATTAATCAATGCAAGAAGTTTGAGTGCAAAGTTTAATATAGTGCTCCTAACATGACCTACCTCTGACTGTTTTAAATAAAAAAAAAACCCAACAGTTGCTCTTAATTGCAATCTGCTTGGCTGCTTGGCTGCAAAAAACTATAGATACACTGACTGACTGGTGATGCCGTACAATTATTAGAAGAACATCTTTATTAAAAGGGACACTTATTTTGGGACAATCGGTAGATCATTACCTACTTTAATTACATTTACACTACCAGCCTTGCACTTGTATTGTGCAAATATGGTGAATATAGATTTTTGCAGCTGAAGAATATATTTAATTATCTTGAGGAAATTTGTTCATTTTTTAACCTCACAAATGAGCCATTTGACATTTGGGAGTCGTTGGTTCTGATTTAACTGGTTTCTACGATTCGTTTCTATTCTTAATGGCTTCTTTTTAAAAGAACATTTATGCCAGAAATTAATGGGCATGTCTTTCGCACATGTAAGTATATGCCTAATTTCCAGTGTAGTACAACGATTGCAATATCTCCATTACCTCGGTGCCAAAATTAGCTAAACTCAACAAGCACTAAAGTTTCCCAAACGTAACTTGTTAAATAAGATATAAACAAACGAAGTAAAATAATTAAATATAACTTACAATGTGTTCATTCCTAGAATAAGCTTAATTCTACTATTAATATACCATTCGCCCGGAAACTGTCCAAAAGTATTCTGTCTGAAAGTTCTAATGTGTTTATGGGCTACCATGCTAACACCATTAAAGAATCATTGTTCTAAGTCAAAATATGTTTATTTCAAGGTAATATCGTGAACGCAGAACTTCAGTGTAGTCCTTGTAAGTTTCACATAATCCTATTCAGTTAATTAGATATTCACTTCCATACATAAAATTATATAATTCAAAATGTAATGACTGTTGAAATTAAAATATTCCCAGTTCTGCTAAATCCAAGAAACAAATATTATTAGGAAATAACAATTACTTCTCAAAGTTTCTTACAAAACTGACATTGACAGAAGAA